TTTTTTTTTTTTTTTTTTTTTTTTTTTGCTGTACGCGGGCCTCTCACTATTGTGGCCTCTCCCGTTGCGGAGCACAGGCTCTGGACGCGCAGGCTCGGCGGCCATGGCTCACGGGCCCAGCCGCTCCGCGGCATGTGGGATCTTCCCGGACCGGGGCACGAACCCGTGTCCCCTGCATCGGCAGGCGGACTCTCAACCACCGGGCCACCAGGGAAGCCCAAGTTCCATTATTTATGTATGCTGCAGCTTTTTCCAAAGGGCTCTAACACACTTCAATTTTTTTTTCTTCCTTCCAGGAAATAAGAGAACAATACTTATCTTTCATTAAACTCTCTGAGTAAAATGAATCATAATATTTGAAATCAGATCTTCTCAGACTAAATCTTTTGTATAGTTCATTGCTAGCACAGCTACATTCAAGCACAGAAAAACTCCTGCACAAAACCATAATCTGATCTTCAAATGTCATTCCCATAACCCCATGCTTTGTCTTCCTTCTACACCTTGGATACGTCCACCTAAGAATGTTCTATATTTCCTTAACTACTTTCCTTGAACCTACAGTATGCACACAGATTCAAAATATTTACACATGATGGAAATCTCATGCAGATCAGCTCCATATCATGAGCTGTTACAGTTCAGCCAACTGGTGCCTCATCATTTCCCTGGAAACCAGTCCCAGAGCCATGGAATACCCAATAACCACATGGCAACAAAGTTAAGGCCAGAACATGAGAAGCTCAAAGCTTATCTCTAACGTGAGAGGCAAGTCATTACTCTGGTGAAAGGCTCAGATAATGGGTGTGTAACATGACAATGTTCCACAGCAAGCGGAAGCATCAACTCACATAATGAGAGCACTGAATAGCAGCTGAAGAGAAATACTAATACCATGATATTGTTATTTCAGATGGTATACTGAGATGTAACCTAGATTCTTGAGGTCTTGAGGCTACTGGAAACATGCAAAAATCCTGTACTCAAGCTGGACTTTCCCTCACAAGTTATGGGATGGGTATCCCTAAATATAATTTCTTTCCCTGACACAGCATTTTATAGTTTACAAAATTCTTTTGAAAAATTGTGCCATTTGATTTTAAAATCCACTTGGTTAGGTTAGTAACATCACCCATTTTATAGATGGTGAAAGTGAAGCCCAAAGAGGCTAAGGAACTGCTAATAACTGCAGGTAACATACAGCTACTAACTGAATGACATGGCCAAAATTTAAACCCAGATCTTCCGACACCAAGTTCAATGAATTTGATACTATTCCATAGCTCCCTAAATCAGGTGATCCGTAATTCAAAGTGACTCTTATTCAACCTCAAAAAATATTTTTATATGTCATCTGCAAAGTTCTTTAAAATATAAAGATAAAATACGAAGTCTCTGCAAGATATTTACCTCTTGTGCAAACGACTCTGCTTTCTTTCGAAGGTCCTTCTCCAGTTCCAAGTTCACTTGCATTTCCTCATACTCTTCTACTGCTAGCATGGACACTTGAGAAGACAAGGAAAAGAAAATGGACAATACGCCACACAGATTATCAAGAATACGGATAAAAAATGGTGACGAAAGATTCCTTATTCAGGCATATAAGCACCCACATTCATTGCTGGTTGGAGTATAAATTGGTAAGACCTTTTTAGAGGGCAACTTGGCAATATGAATCTAAAATCTAAAACTATTCATACTCTTTGGCTCAACAATTCCACTTTTAGGAATGTATTTATTCTTCTAAAAGAATAAATCATGAACATATACAGAGATTTAATCGCAAGGGTGCTCTGTGCATCATTGCTGAAAACAGTGAAATAATCTAGATGGTCTAACACTGAAGGATCAGTTAAGTATGCTGTGTACAAGAAATATTCTGCCATCAAAATTACATTGTAGAGGCATATTTACTGAATGGAAAGACATTCATGATATATTTTTAAAATGAGTTCATTTTTGTTTTTTAAAAGACACATACAAAACACGTCAACAAGGATTTCACTGAAGAGGAAACATGTGAAAGGCCAATTACCATCTTCATTAGTAACCAAGGAAAAGGAAAGTAAAACCATAGCTACCTTTTTATACTCACCAAAGAGGCAACTGGCAAAAATTTAAAAGTATAGCTATATCAAGCTGGGAGAGAATACAGAACAATGGAAACAAATACACTGTTAACAGGAGTATAAACTTATAGATCTACTTTAAAAATAATTTGGCATTATGTAGTGAAATTGAAGGTAAAATTTTACCTTTGGCATATATCTTAGTGAAACTCTTGGATATGTGCACCAGAAGACATGTATAAGAATTTTCATAACAGCATGACTTGGAATAGCAAAAAAACTGGAAAAAACTCAAACATTCACCAAATGGATACTGGATAAATGAATTTTGGTATAGACATTGAATGAAATATTATACAGCAGTGAAAATAAACATACCACAGCAATACCCTTCAACATGATGAACCGGACAAACACAAAAAGCAGCAGAAGGACATATGCAAAATTATATCATTTATATAAAGTTCAAAAACATGCAAAATTAAACAATATGCTGTTTAGGGATATATATATATATGACAAAACTATAAATAAAAGCAATGATTAAAGTCCAAGGAAGGAACACAAGTAGAGACTGATGTTCAGGGGCTTGTAAAGCACTGATGGGCAAAAAAGATATTTCTTTTGTTGGTATTTTATTTATACTCCATATACGTTATAAACATATTTAATAAACAACTCAATGTACATATATAGGTTTTTTGATTGAAATATAGTTGATGCACAATATCATATGTTATAGGTGTACAATACAGTGATTCACAATTTTTAAAGGTTATGCTCCATTTATAGTTATTATAAAATATTGACTACATTTCCGGTGTTGTATAATATACCCTTGTAGCTTATTTTATACATAATAGTTTGTACCTCTTAGTCCCCTACCCATAAATTGCCCCTCCCCCCTTTCCTCTCCTGGAAGAATAAACACTAAAATGTTAATAGTGCTTATCTCTGGACTGTAAGGGTTGAGTTTTAGTTTTTTTTACTTTTCCCATATAAATCTATACTTTCCACCAAAAAATATGTTACTTGAATAAAAAGAAAAAATGTACATATGTAAGTTATTTCAAAGTGTTCTCCATGTTTATAAAGAAGAGAAACAGCCTTAGATCCATATGGGCCCAGAGTCAGAGCTTTGAATGAAAGAATCACTGTGGACAGAAATCTTCAAAGGGACGATACTGTCAAATAGGAGCAACATGAATTCTTTCCTACTTTTTGATATTCTGTGACCTATTCTGTTAAATAATGATGTAGACGGGACAGAGGGAGTGATGACGCCATTACCAACTAGGAACCACATAGGTGGACAGCACACTAGCCTCTCCACTGGCTTCCAGCAAGGCACTTTCAATCCTGAGCTGAGTCATGTCAATAAAAACCTTTAAAAAGGCTCTCTTAATGGCAGCTTTCACAAACTGTTCCTCCAGGGCACTTCACTCCTAACTGATTAAGGACCGGTTTGCTGCGTAATGACATAGAATTTCAAACTCTGTACTCGGTCAATCTACTGCCTCCTCAGAGGAAAGACTAACAGTCTTACTCAAGTAAAGCAATGAAGTGGTGGTTTGTGATGTGAATTACAGGTCCCTGAGAGCTAAACGATTTTCAAACCTGTTTAAAAAAAAAAGAAATTTCACAAAGAAAACAAAGAAGATTATGACTATCTGAAGCCCTGGGCAAGATAATTAACTTTCTATTCTATGTCCAGAACACTATAATAAAAAGTGAATTTTCACATGACCTGGCCCTCTTGGATTCTGAAAGAAATTCGGTTGGTCCTAGTCATGTATTTATTTATATAATCTCTCTCTGCCTAGATAAGGGTCTCCCTGAAGGCAAGGTCCATGATATTAACCTCTGCAGAGCCCTCTGTTTCTAGCACAGTGCATCACGACTGAAAATTCTTCTACACCATTTCTATCTTCTTAAATGCATAAAAGGCAGAGGAAATGTTACAAACTAGTGCATCTCCCACACTTAGCTACAAGGTCCTTTATTTACTAAAAAAAAAAATCTCAATTCATGAATGACACAAAGATGGAGAACCACCACCAATAACAATAGGGAAGGCCCTGGGTCTGAAAGGTTTCCTTTTAGTGTTGTAGCTTCTGAACTAGGAAAGACAGTGGCTGAGGGAAAAAAGGAGAACAAAAAAAGCATAGTAAGTCCCCTCCCTTAAGAATTATGTTTGCAGAACTGCACTTTGCTCCTTTGCCCTAAACCAGGGGACATAAGAAATGGTCCCATGAGACTTGATGCTGTGTTTTATGACAAGTATGATGGAATCAAATTACACAGAATTTTCTCTAGAAGTAGCCTCTGGAGAAAGTTCCTTCTCACCATGAGACCAGGTCTGCTTCTCCTGACCAACAGGTAAATTTTTATATGATTCATAAAAATGATCATGAATCTCTCATCACTCTGGCTCCTAGAGAGCTCAGAGCCAGATTTCAGGCACACAGGCAGGAAATGTGCAAGAACTCGGAGTAAGTAATAAGCACTTTGTACATTAACATATATTCTCACTTTTCCTTTGTCCCATTTTCCATATCCTCTTAATTTAAAAGTTTTTCATATAATGTTGCATGTATTTATGTAGATATCCTAATCTCTTCTGGATCGAGGAGAAGTTTACCAATTAACCTACCAGATATATAAACACTGAGGGGATAGCCAATATGGCCATGGTCCCAAGATATATGTAGGACAAAAGAGTATTTAGGTTTGAAGTTTCAAAATGAGTGGGTCATGAATTCCTCAAGCAAAAGCACTTTTAAATGTCCCCAGACTCTCAGGTAGGTAGAAAAAGAGCAGGAATGAGAGAGAGTCATTGCTAGAAGTTAGGAAAACACAATATAGAAGATTTTTGCTACAAGAATCTTTAGACACCAGTATAAAACAACACAAAATATATATAAACAAAATAAATTACATATATATTTGAGGGAAAAGACTGGAAATACATACCTCTATTGCATTTTTCTAAGACTTTTCTCTGTTCAAGAACTTCCGAATTTAAAACATCTTTTTCTTGTTTAACTTTATTTACCTAAAAATGTGATATTTTGAGGGGAGAAAACATCCAAAATTGTAAAACATGATATATGATGATGTGTGATACTTAAATTGCTATTCAACTTTCAACACGATGTTACATTAAAGCAGTAATTGGCTTCACTGTGCTAGGTTTCTATTAAAATGTTTTTAAAGCCTCAAAGTAACTATTTAATTTAGGATGTACATCTGGAACTTCTTTACATATTCCAAATAGTACTGGCATTGGTCCCTAAATATGGCAGTGTTCTAGCCGTCCAGTGTAAATGATTGACATTTTTAATGCAAAAATCCAATTAGACTGCACCCGGAAAATACTTGAATCATTTAATCAGAGAGCCAATATTCAATTTTGGTATTCATTTTAAACTCTGATGACATTTGGCTTAAGTAAAAACATACATAAATTTTTAAAATAAAAAAGACTTTGAACTTTGACTTTTGGCTTAAACAAAATACATATGAAAATCTCCCCCCACACAAAACTTAAATTTCTGAAATAATTTTTGGCATCTATCAATAGGAAAAGAGAATATCATAGTATAGTTTTAAAAAAAAGAATGTAAAGTTACATGTACCAAGTGGATAAATCTCAAAAGCATTATGTTGAATTAAAAAAGCAGGTTTATATAGTTTAAAACACTCAAAATACTAGGTATTGTAGTGAAAATGTAAATATATGCATTGAAATGATAAAAAACAAGTTCAGAATAATGGTTGTTTAAGGAAACAGTGCAGGGAGTGAGGAGAATGCAGTTAGGGAGAGATGCACACGGGTTTCAATACTATGCTAATGTTTTATGTATTAAACTACATAGTAGGCATATGGAGGTTCGTTATTTTGTTTTTTACACTTTTCAGATGTCTGAAATAGTCATAATAAAAATGACTTCTGAAATGGCTTCCAATAACACCTCTAAGTGGGAGGGGAGAGAATCATCAATAAATAATTATAATTGAGGATTGGAATGCATCAAAATGTCTTTCTTTCTCTCCTATGGTTATACTCAAGAAACAAGCTAAGGTAATGGTCCCTGAAAGGGACCCTGAATCCATCAGCACTTCCATATGGTCTGTGAACTGGTTTCCTTTAGTATAAGCTATATTGTTGTTTTTGGTTTAAATTAGTAACCAGTATACAGTTCAACGCTTCTAGAATGTCATCATCCTTCTTCCCACTCACACTTACTGCCACAATAAGTAAAAGCAACTGGGGATGGGAGGTTGGTGGTCACTGCTTTCCAACGTTTTTCACATTATGGCCCTTAAGAATATGTGTATGGGAACTGGGGTAACTGAAAGAGGCTGCTCACTGAAGGGGTCAATACCCTGGCATACCTGTAAGCCATTTGAAGGATATCAAGGTGCTATACACATCAGTTGGGAAGCCTTGGGCTACAGACTCTGAGAACCACTGATACAAGTTAAACCGAGACTGCAAAGGCAGATCCTTGAAGCCTCATGCAAAGAAGGCTAATTATGTGCTCCTGCTCTTAAAGACAATTCAAAAGGAAAAATAAAAAGATTCTCCAAATACCCACTTGAACCCATTCTACCATCTATCATATATGCCTGTGTTGGAGGTACAGAGGGGCATAGCCTTTCCCAGCTGAGTCAGCCCTCCATCAGAGAAGCAAAATCATTCTTCATCAGCAGCAACAAAGTGTATGACTTAAATGCAGATATCACTGTCACAAATCTGCCTCACAGTGAAACACACGGGACAATAGGAAACACTTCAATGCTATTTTACTATTTTATTTCTTGAGCTAGACAGTGGGTACATGAATGTTCATGATCTTATTTTCTATACCTTTTTGTATGTCTGAAATAGTGGGGACAAGAGAAGATTAAAATTGGTACATGGTTCTCATGTCAGAAATTAGCTTCCAACAGCAAGTTTTTGACTTAGCCTGTCCCCAAACACCTTAAAAGACTAAAGGTCTTGCCTTTCGGGCCTAAGATACATACTTCTTCAATTACTTCTACAAGTTTGCTCTTGAGATTTTCCAGTTCAATGGCTAATATCTTCTTTTCCTCCTGAACAGATACAATTTGATCTCGAAGTTCTGCATTTTTAAAGAAAAAAATAAGAAAAAAAAAGCCTTATTTTTAAAAGAAGAAACCAATCTTGTCAGAAGAATTGAAAATGCCAATCCATGTGCAGCTTATGGTCAAAGTTATTCCACAATTAAAAGGAAAATGAAGTAGCAAAAGACAATGGAAATATCACTTCTCCCCCCCTGCCCCGCCAAATATAGCTATGTTTCTAAAATTTTGTATCAGGCACACTCACTACGTTAAATATACTAGATCATGTTTTCTCTGCAATATATCAAACCTGTATTCTAGGAAACTATTTGGCATTTTAGAAGTAGAATTTTTTTAAGCTTTCAGCAAAACAAATTAAGGCACTGTACTAATTTCTTTTTTATTTTTTAATGGCCATGGGCTTTTGTCACAATGCAATACAAACCAACTGGGCAGCTAATAATTTGGAGATTTTGATTTAAAGAAAAAAATCCTGACTTGCTGCCAATTTACAGCCCTTAAACATTATTTGAACTGACTCAAAATAAGACCTATTTGAAAAAGGGTTAATTCTAATAATTTTCTCTCCAGGGTGTTGGTGTTTTGTTTCTTAATTTACTTCGTATTTCATATTATTGAGATTTAATGAAAACTGTATTACTAGAGTGAAAATACTAGCAACTGTAAGTGCAAAAACTTCTGGTGTTAGATTAAAGTTACTTCTACCACTCAAATGTTAAAAAAAAACATGGATTAGCACAGAGTACTTAAATTTATACCCAGGCCCACACACTTTTGCCACTTAGTTTTTTGTTTGTTTGTTTTTTTTTTTTGTTTTTTGCGGTACGCGGGCCTCTCACTGTTGTGGCCTCTCCCGTTGCGGCGCACAGGCTCCGGACGCGCAAGCTCAGTGGCCATGGCTCACGGGCCCAGCCGCTCCGCGGCATGTGGGATCTTCCCGGACCGGGGCACGAACCCGTGTCCCCTGCATCGGCAGGCAGACGGACTCTCAACCACTGCGCCACCAGGGAAGCCCTATCAGAGACTTACTTTAAAACCACTTTCTTCACTGGCTGGCTAATCTTAAAGAAGAACAAGAGACCATACCATTCAAGACCTAACAGAAGGGAGAAATACAAACAAAAGGAAAGCCTTTAAACTTTCTCTCCCTTCCTACCAGCATAAATATGATTTTGTCTTAAGTTAGGGGGTAGAAAGTCAGGTTAAGATGGCTTTCTTTTTACTTCCTTCTTTATACTTCTTGCTGAAGTTTTATCTACCAAACAAGCAAACAAGTATTACTCCTGACAGGTACAGTAAGTTAAAATGCTCCAATAGTTACTGAGCCCCAAACTGTTTTCCTACATCCTTAACAATATATAGGGGTGTGTGTGTGTATTTATTTATTAATAAAGTTAATGTGTATTTAATAGATGTAACATGTGATCTTGCCTTACAGCACTACTTGGGGACCACCGCAGTTGCTTAATACTACATACTGCTTTTAGCTCATTGCCTGAATCATATGGGAAGTTCTTGGAGGGCAGAGACTAAGCAATTTGGGGAGGTATCTTCCCCAAAGATTCCAACAGAGAAACAGACTAACAGGAGGTGTCAGCTAAATATACTTTTATTCATTCTTACTTTCATTTAACAAAAATATCTTAATACACAGTCCTATCCTTTAGAAGTTTATAGGCAAACTGACTGCTTCTGTCAAGACAATGCTTTCAAAAGTGCCTAATCCCAAACAAGAAAGTACTCATAAAGCTATACATCCATCATGCTTCTCAATCAGGCCACCCCCTGTGACAAACAGTCAGAATTCTTTCCAAAGTAGGAACCAGGCATCAATATTTTTTGAAATTATCATGTAATTCCAATGTGCAACCAGGGTTCAGAAGCATTATCCTAACAGGAGTCAAAAACATGCTCAATAATTAAGCCAGGGATCCTACCCTTGATTTGCTTCTGACACTGTACTGAGACACAAGTCTCGGCAGCACCCTCAGGGTCCATGGTTGAATCTTCATCATCAATGTTGATCTCTTCAGTTATTACATCTGGCCCCAGCTTGGCCATGTATAACATGCTGATTCTTTTCAATGCTTTATTTTCTTTATTTAACTAAGGCAAATATAAAGACAGTTATTTTAACAGCAGTCAAATGAGTGCCTTGCCACCTAGAGGGGTGGGATAGGGAGGGTGGGAGGGAGACACAAGAGGGAAGAGATATGGGGTTATATGTATACGTATAGCTGATTCACTTTGTTATAAAGCAGAAACTAACACACCATTGTAAAGCAATTATACTCCAATAAAGATGTTAAAAAAAATGAGTGTCTTGGATTTTTAAACAATAGACAAATTAAGTGTATTTTTGTCTTGCACATTCATCAACATTCACAGCATGAAGTAACAATTAGAAGAGTCATTAAATAAGGTTTTTTATACTTTTTAATATTAAACTTATTACTTTAAGTAAAACCTATGCCTTATAGCCAGCAGCATGTGAAAATGCTAGTTATAACTGATAAATACAAGAAGAATTAAGATGAAACACCAGTATAGATTAAATAAAATTTCAATTTATTCACAGTCATTAAAAGTCTTAATTTAAGACACTTTCTTTCAAGCAAATATTTTGTTTGATGCTGTGCTGTGAACATCTTTGAAATGTTTGTTTGCCTGGCACTCTCTGTTTTCTGGACACTGACACTCCTCTTCACTGTTCCAAATGATTTCTATGGGAAAAGCCAAGTTCTCCCAAAGCACAACCTACCACTTTGGCCATAGCTATAATAATTAGTCCAGGAATTAGGCACGTAATCCAAGCTTGGTCAATTAGATCCCTTCTCTAGAAATTTGGAGACTGGAACAGAGAGATGAATTCCTTTCCATGTGTCTGGATATACAGTAGCTACTGGCAACCACGTTACACTACTGAATTGAGGAATAGAGAAAGGCAGTCCACAGCAAAGCCAAAATGGAGCCAATGTGTAGGAGAGACAGAGAAAAGCAACAGACACAGGGTTTGCCACAGGGCTCCAGTCCATTCCTAAAACGCTCCTAGCTCATGGATTCTATGGGATTCTCCAATATCCCTCTGAACAAATTCCTACTTTTCTTTCCTTTTCTTGCTTAAATTAGTTCAAAATGTGTTTCTATCTGTACACAGAGTTCTAATAATACACGATAGAAGAAAGTTCAAGATACGTTTCTATTATCTCTATCTAATTCACTGCAGATAAAGGAATCCTAACTCATTAATGTATTTGTTATCCCCTGATGTAAAAATGAGTTGGTTATCAATTATTGTTACCTTCTTCAGCTCCTGTGTTTATGTGCACATAAATGTTAGTACGAGGCACACACGAAGACTAAAGTTGATCCAAAGTCCACAGAAGGAAAATATGGTTTTGCTTACGTGTTCTCTTCACAAGACTAAAATATAAAAGGTCTTCTCTTATTTGAGTATAAAGTATTTCGTATATTGATTTCTCTAGTATAAAATATAAGATACAGAAATGTGTTTGCATTTACTAAGGGCCGTTGGCCATCAAGACAAGTTCTTAATTTAATAACTGACACTGGAAATAAACACAGACAGAAACAATTCACTGGAAAGCTAAATGCCCTTCACTGCTGTAAACCTTATGCCAGAATAAGATGTTTAGTATGGTATTTGTCTGGCTTTGGTCCTTCATTTGTGATCATGATTAGGACCCTTCAGGGTTTCTCTCAGGGAAAGTCCAGCCCATTTCAATTTGGGAGATCTGATTCTTACCCCAGTAATATGGAAACTAAATATACCCCGAGTAGCGTGGTCTGGAACACAAGAGCATTCCCTAGAGCATTCCCTGACCTCTCTGGGGAATCAGGAAGAATCACTTAGAAATGGCTATGAACCATTCCACAGATTCTTCCTGGGAAGGCTGGTGAGATCTATTCAAGGAATCAGACACAGACCTTTATTCCCAGTTCCCAGCCCATAGCTCCAGCTTCTAGCTCTCCATGTTATATTAGAGGATCAGGGATAAGATATAAGACCCATGATTTCCCAATCCCTCTTCCTTCAGATGGAAAATTCAAGTAAACATTGTTGTGTGTTCTTTGAACCATGAATGCTAGAGCATGGCACTAGACACTCAAGGACCATCGTCAATTCTCAAATGATGACATCTTTTCTGAATGCAAGGAGAAAAGAACAATTTAAGAAAAACTCAAGTGAAAAAACTCAAGACTTAGTTTGTAATTCTGCCTCCTAATATTTAAACTAATGGTTCCCAACCCTGCACATTACCATCTGTAGAGTTTTTAAAAAAAAAACTCCCAACATGCAGGCCCTCACCAGACCAAAATCTCTGGCAGTAGAGCCGAGCATAGCACATTTTCAGGGCTTCCCAGGTCATTCTAATGTACACCAATACTACAGATAATTGACATAGAGGAATGCAGTACTTGAGTATGCATTTCTATAAAATTAGTATAGCAGAGTTAAGAACTCAGCTCTGCAATCAAATTCTGTCTCTGCCTCTAGGATAATCTAATCTTTCAGTGTCAGTTTTCTCATCAGCTAACTAAGGATAAAAATAGTCTCTATCCCATAATATGAAGATTAAATGAGATATATATATAAAGTATTGTGACTGACATACAGTAAAAATTCAGCAAATATTAGCTATTAGTAACAAAAGAGGTTTAGTCTGTGTGTCTAATTTTCCTCTGGAAGTCATTTATCAGCTAGTTTCCTTCAACCAAGGTATTCATCTATACAAAGCTTCTTCCCCCAGGATTCTCATGAAAAACTGAAAATACTAATTTTTGCCATCTGGTGCTCCCCAGGCCACCATCGAAGTAATATTTAATAATCTAACAGTTAACAGTTCTGCCCTCAAAAGAGTTTTAATGCCTCTATCAAGCCAGGCACCAAAGTCTACCAGCTACTATTTGGCTGTAATACAATTACTCTATTCAACAAAGTTACTATCTCAAGAAAAAAGCCAAACAAAATTGCAAACGTCTTCTCTAAAACAACATTTTCACATTCTGAAAGAAGAAATATAAGACTTATACACATTAAATCTTATAACCATACTAAGTGGAAATTTTTGAGAACTCTGAATTCACAAATTTGGGCTGAGAAATTTCACTGCAGTTATTATTCATCAAGTTATATAGGTTAACAGCATACTACTTGGGATTTAGAATCCTTATTAGTTACAAGGCAAAAATAAATCTTTCATAACCCTACAGTAACAGAATCTTATACTATATTCAAATTTAAATAGGGTTTTTATATTGAGCACAGTTTAATGAATATTTAAAGATACAAAATAAGCAAATTAAACAGACTTGGATCATACGATTTAAATAACTGGTCTATAATTATCAGTTTAACTTTCACATTTTAGCAAAGGAAAGCATCCACACTTGCTTTTAAGGAAATAATGCAGTCAAATTGTATTTCTGACCCACCTCCTAGACAAATGGAAATAAAACCAAAAATAAACAAATGGGACCTAATGAAACTTAAAAGCTTTTGCACAGCAAAGGAAACCATAAACAAAGACAAAAAGACAACCCTCAGAATGGGAGAAAATATTTGCAAATGAAGCAACTGACAAAGGATTCATCTCCAAAATACATATGCAGCTCATACAGCTCAATATCAAAAACAAACAACCCAATCCAAAAATGGGCAGAAGACCTAAACAGACATTTCTCCAAAGAAGACATACACATTGCCAAAAAACACATGAAAGGATGCTCAACAACACTAATCATTAGAGAAATGCAAATCAAAACTACAATGAGGTATCACCTCACATCCATCAGAATGGCCATCATCAAAAAAAATCTACAAACAATAAATGCTGGAGAGGGTGTGGAGAAAAGGGAACCCTCTTGCACTGTTGGTGGGAATGTAAACTGATACAGCCACTTTGGAGAACAGTATGGATGTTCCTTAAACTAAAAATAGAACTAGCATACGACCCAGCAATCCCACTACTGGGCATATACCCTGAGAAAACCATAATTCAAAAAGAGTGATGTACCACAATGTTCATCGCAGCACTGTTTACAATAGCCAGGATATGGAAGCAACCTAAGCATCCATCAACAGATGAATGGATAAAGGAGATGTGGCACATATATACAATGGAATATTACTCAGCCATAAAAAGAAACGAAATTGAGTTATTTGTAGTGAGGTGGATGGACCTAGAGTCTGTCATACAAAGTGAAGTCAGAAAGAGAAAAACAAATACTGTATGCTAACACATATATATGGACTCGAAAAAAATAAAAAAGGTTCTCATGAACTTAGGGGCAGGACAGGAATAAAGACGCAGACACAGAGAATGGACTTGACAAGGGGAGGGGGAAGGGTAAACTGGGACGAAATGAGAGAGTAGCATTAACATATATACAGTACCGCGTGTAAAATAGATAGCTAGTGGGAAGCAGCTGCATAGCACACGGAGATCAGCTCCTGCTTCGTGACCACCTAGAGGGGTGGGATATGGAGGATGGGAGGGAGATGCAAGAGGGAAGGAATATGGGGATATATGTATACATATAGCTGATTCACTTTGTTATACAGCAGAAACTAACACAACATTGTAAAGCAATTCTACTCCAATAAAGATGTTAAAAGAAACTGTATCATAAGAAACATTCCATTTGTCATTAATTTGAGAGCAAACACTTCAGAAAAATAAGAATGTACAGGAACTCTGCTGCTTAGAAAATGAAAACTACTTCCAAAAATGACAATTAATACTTAAATCAGGATGTGCTACTTTCATTATTGATCACACATATAATGAAGTTTCCAAACTTTGCATTCAAAGCTGTAGTTATCTTCCACATCCAATGAGCACATCTACAGCATTTAATTGAATAGGGTATTTTTGGTTTGTTTTTTATTCTAAAGTTCCTGAGTTCACACCGTATCCTCAAAAACAAACCGTAAGTCCATTTTCAAAGGAGCTTCTTAAAGAATAGAAGACAAACTCTAAGTTAAGGATCCTATTGTCAATACTAAATTGTAAAAATGACCCTAGAGATTAGTAACACAGTTGTTCAGAAGCAGGGATGAATATAACAGTCACCTGGCAGCTTTTTCAACATTCACATGTCTGGGTCATACTCCCAGAATCAGTGGGTCTGAGGTATTCTTAAGAAATCAACCCTGGTCTACACTGACAATTATGACATGATAACTGCAGGTTAGAGAGGTGAATTCTCTTGCTCAAAATCAACTGTTAAATAAAAAAGGGGGAATAGCAATAAAATAATTTTTTAAGGGGACCAATGATTAAAGTCATCATAAAGAAAGTCTGTCCCATTCTCACTTTAGTCCTAATTCTAGTTCATCCTGTCATTTAAGATGAGACAATGGCAGTCCAGGGAACAGAATTAACTTGGCCAAAGTCACATATGTCCAAAATTATACAATTAGGAATAAAACCTGTACATACTGCCTCCCAAACCACTGTTTTCCATAAACTGCCAGTCCTGAGAGGTAGTCAGTGCTCTCACTTTGGATGTCCTATTGCAACAGGAATACTTGTTAATAACAAGAGAAAAATACAGAAACTATCCTTAGCCACTACAAGATTCAGAACAACTAGTATGCTCTGAATACATTTTTTCTACTTGGTCCAAAAGTAAAGGAAATGAAAAGAGAATTCCAACAGTATTATCAACCAGTGAACTCTAGTGATATAGAGAATAGAAATGATATGAGAGCACCCATGTTATCGTTGCTTTTAAAGCAATGGCCTCTATTGCTATATATTCTTCAGACAAATAACAGAAAAGAAGCTATATA